GTCTACAATCTCAGCAATTTGTCCGAATGTTATGCATGGACACCAGCATGTTATGCAACCTGTATAAATTAATTAATTAATTTATAATCAAATTAATGAAAATAAAAAAAATATATTATTTAATTAGTATTGAAATATAAACTCTTACAATTGGAAACATCAGAGAAGCAGTCGCAAAGGCCAGTGGACCAAGGCCCTGGAACGCCGCCGTGAACATGGTGCGCCGCCGCAGGTGGTGGTGGGCGGACATTATGAGGTGGGAGGGGTACACCTTGGGCTGGTGGTTGGTGGCCGCCGTAGTAGGCTGCCGGCGGAGCTGTGGGTGGCGCTGGGTGATTTTTGACGGCGTCTGCTGGGTAATTAGAGTAATCCATTATTCAGATATTTTTTTTTTATTATTTTTATTTTCTTTTTCGTATGTTTATTGGGAGAAGATATACAATTAATGCGATGAAGGCTTAGCTACTTATATATACGGTTTAATTAGAGTGTGAAAACTGAAAACTAACTGAAATTAAATATTTATATATGAATAAATAAACTTAATAATATTATTAATTAATTAATTGGTTGTCGTAAGAGGAATATTATGCAACGACCATTGACCCATGCATGACTTTTCGACGCGCCATGAATTGACATGGCCAACAATGGATTACTAGTACCTACACCATAATTTCTAATCGGGAATTACATGAAAATAGGATAATAATATAATTTGTATTTACCTACCCTAAACTATGACTATTTTTCTATTTTTCTTATCTATTATGTTTTTTGCGAAAATATATACCTGATATTTCTAATTGAGCCAATCTAACGAGTCTGTAATTTCTTTATTTACTTACAGAGTCACGAGCCAAATATTGAAGCACTACCACCGAGGTCCAATCACTTTCAAATAACGTCTGGACCCGACAATCTCAATTAATTAAACATCAGCTCAATTAATGAGGTATAAATAAAAGTTTTAATTCATTTAGTGGACGTTCAATATTCGAACTATACAACTGCTCGTATCTATTACG